ACAATGTAGTATTCCACTGATAATCCCCTATTGATGGACATTTAGGTTGTCTCTAACTTTTCAAAATTACTGTTGGAATCTTTTGAACTTGTTAAAACTAGTTGACAAAATCAATGTCATTTTCACCAGGCTGTTGCATTTGAGTTTCTAATTCTTTGACAGCCTATCATGACTTTATCTGTCACTTTGATTGCCAATTATTTATACCAACATTATACTGTGTTCATAGGGGGAAAATACTTTAAGAATCCTTACAAAACCCTGATAATCACGTTTAACAACTGTTGCTTTTTTCATGTCATCATAAATTATAAAATGTTGTAATGTATTTCTCCTTCTGAGACAGATGATCAGTTTAAAACTGTTGCCCCCTAACTAGGTCATTTTGCATTTTCACTTCTAAAGAAATATATTATTCATGATCTAATAGAGCTAAACATGAATAATTATGATTTTAGAGATCACACATAATAGCAACGTTTTGTAGGCATCCTGGGGCAACGGGTCAGGGAGGGTTGTTATAAGTTACCACTAGGCATGCCTAGTCCTCTGATTCTCATTTTTGGGATGCCGAGTTTTTGCAATCATCCTTTGCTGGTTTTATGGGCTTCATTGTAATATATCTTTTTGTCAATCACCAGAATAACACATGCTATTTATTATTCTTCAGAGGGTTTTTTAAAATGAAATATTAATTGCTTATTAGGTTACTACCTTAAATTTCATAGTACTTTTAACTTTTTGAAGTATTTTCATATCTATTTTATGTATGCCATTTTAAAGTAAAATTGAGCTTCTATATTAAATTCTGCACTAAGAAGGGACATAGCCTGTAGGAGTTGGGTCAGCATATTCCTACACAAGTGAATCAACTATAACGATGACTGCAAAACAAATTTAGGTATTGAACCAACACCTAATCCTGTGTAAACCTGTCTCTGTGTTTTCCCACATTTTGCAGTTTTTGAGAAAGGTTCTCACATATACTGATTTTTCAGATTACATGCATATTCTCATTCATTTTTAAATTCACAAAATAGTTCTTATTTGTGCTAAAGACCATGTGAATAATTTGGGTTGATGGACGGCAATCTTTTTTTTTTTTAAATCCAAATCTTTGAGAAAATGAATGTTCTTTTTGGAAAATGCATTTAAAAATAATCATCATAAAGTACTCAGTGAAATACTTTATATACCTTTATTTTGGGGGGAAATAAAGTAATAAGGTGAAAAGTGGGTTTACTCTCTTAGATATTCATGTTGTGTTATATTTATGATCAAGCAAATCTTCCATGAAAGTCTCATCTCTTACAGTTCTGGGATCTAAAGTAACCTGGATAGAATGGAAATGCTATGAAGCTATATAGGCAGGAAAAAATTTAAATTATAAAAGCCAAATATATTGTGTAACCACAAAAATCCTGAGATTTCTTTTTCAAAATCCACACTTCCATACAAGTATCATTATAGTACAACCTTGTACATACTCCACTTCCTGCTTAGTGCCTGAGTCCTCATCTCACACCACTCTCCTCTGACTCCCCAGCTTCCGGCACACAAGCCTCCTGGGATGTCTCAGGGCCTGTGCACTTATGTTCATTCTTTAAGTCTTAGGTCAAATGTCACCTCTTCAGAGAGGTGATCTCTGACCATTGTTCTCTAATCAGCAGCCTCTTTGTTTCTTTCAGGCACACATCACTCTCTGAATTATCTCATTTATTTATGTACTTGTTTGTTGTCTGCCTCATCCATTAGAAGGCAGGTCAGTAAGGGAAGGGCCCTAATCCCAGCCCTCCTTCAGGGCACTGAGCCTCACGAGCATTTGTGGTATAGCATATATGCTATTGGTATGATTTTGGAATTTTCCTTCCTAATGAAAATCTGAGGTGGCAAAGCTGGCCTTCTACTTTTAATTCACCTTTAAAACAAGTAAAGAATTCCCAAATAGAACTTTTTCTTGAAGGACTTAAAGCCTAAATGGAAATCAAGCAATGAAAATTTAATTATAGTTCTGAAGGATTACTTGGTTTCATTTTATAAATTTACTATACAATATTATTCCTCAAATATTCAAATTTTGATATAATCTAACTTAATTATATTCTGCCTCATATTCTTTAATTTTTTACAGATATTTGTTGGTTTAAAAAGAATATAATGCTCTTCTCAAGGTTTTCTGATTAATTCACTATGTGTTAGTATTTATATTAACAAGCAATCAATTTTCCTTTTTAACTACTTGAATTTCTCCCCTATTCTTAGGGACTCTTTAAATCTAAAAGAGTTCCCATTCCCTCTTTTTTTACCCCATGGTATTAAATTGTTGAAAGAAACCAGGTCATTTGTCCTATTGAATTTCCCACATTCTAGATTTGGTTAATTTTATCTTCCTGGTGTTAACACATTTCTCTGCTTTTCCACCTTCCCCCCTCATATAAATAACTGATAGTTAGATCTAGAGTCTTGATTAGATTCAGGTTTTTAACTTTCGTGGGGGCTTAGAATACTTCATAGGTAGCACCATTTATTCCTATTGTATCATGCCTGGAGGAACATATTTGGTTGTCTCACTTTTAGTGATATGTTAAGATTATCAATGGATGTAATGTTGTCAGCCTGATCTACCTGTTACAAAATTCCCCATCAGCCTTTTACCTGGGAATTTAGGACTGTTTTAAACATGGAGGATATATAGGTGGAGAGGTGTAAAAAACACAAAGAGGTCTAGTTCTTTGCATATTTATTACTGTTCTGCCTCGTTTATAGAGTTGAGGTGAGGAATATTCAAATAAGTTTATTTTTTGTATATTAACTGTAGGTTATTTTATTTTTGTTAAAGTATAGTTGATTTATAATATTGTGTTAGTTTCAGGTGTACATCAGTGATTCAGTTATACATATATATATATATATATTTCAGATTCTTTTCCATTGTAGGTTATTACAGGATATTGAATATAGTTCCTCGTGCTATACAATAAATCCTTGTTGTTTATCTATTTTATATATCATAGTGTGTATCTGTTAATCCCATAATCCTAATTTACCCCCCCTTCCCCTTTGGTAACCGTAAGTTTGTTTTCTATGTCTATGAGTCTGTTTCTGTTTTGTAAATAAATTCATTTGTATTATTTTTCCACATATAAGTGATATATAATATTTGTCTTTCTCTGTCTGACTTACCTCACTTAGTGGGATATTTTTTAGGTCCATCCATGATGCTGCAAATGGCAGCAAATGACTGAGTAATATTCCATCGTATATATATATATATATATATATATATATATACACCACATCTTTATCCATTTATCTGTGGATGGACACTTCAGTTGCTTCCATATCTTGGCTATTATAAATAGTGCTGCTATGAACATTTGGGTACATGACTCTTTTTAAATTAGAGTTTTTGTCTTTTCCAGATATACGCCCAGGAGTGGGACTGCTGGATCATATGGTAGCTCTAGTTTTAGTTTTTTTAAGGAACCTTCACACTGTTTCCCATAGTGGCTGCACCAATTTATATGCCCATCAACAGTTGTAGGAGGGTTTCCTTTTCTCCACACCCAGAATCAAGTAAGTTTAAGAGACAACCACGAACCAAGTGTTTTAAACAGCAGTGGCTTAAATATGGTCTAAATAGTAAAGTGCACAGGGAACTCTGCTCAATACTCTGTAATAACATAAATGGGAAAAGAATTTGAAAAAGAACAGATACATGCATATGTATAACTGAATCACTTTGCTGTACACCTGAAACTAACATTGTTAATCAACTCTACTCCAATACAAAATAAAAATTTAAAAAAATAGTAAAATGATAATAAGTATGGCAAAGCCACTCCATATACTGAAAAGGACAGCAAATTGAGGAGTCAAAACCCTAGTTTCTTCCATTTATTTGACAAACCATTAAAGACCCTGTAGATTCCAAAGTGAGTACTAAAAACTTGCTATGCAGAAAGGGTCTTATTGGAATCTTCCTCTCACTTGGAGGTGCAGCTCACTTGGCTTTGTTTCGAATGACTCTGAATTAAAAACTTGCAAAGAGACTGAAATCAAATATATAAGAATGTAGTCACTTCATTTAAAAATAATAATTGGTTACTGTGGGAGGCTGCTAGGCACCAATATTATTATAAAAAGTAATAAAGGGAAAATATAAGGCATTTAACCTGCCTTTCCAACACAATCTGTATTCCAGCGTAACCAAAGAGTTGAGGAAAAAACAGAAATATAAAACATACCAGTTAGATCTAAAAACTTCTGATTAACATTTTTGTTTTGCTTACCTCAGGGGGACTCTTGGAGAAGGGATGTCAAAGGGATTAAGGAGAAAGGCAGCACTTGGCGGACTCAAAAACACTCTTCGGGGCTAAGACCACATTCTGGCTTCAGAAAAGTCTAGCAGAGCTGACAGTTCTTTCCGGGTCTGCGTCTCACAAGCCCGATATGAGCTGCACGGCACGTGACCCAGCTCTCCCTCGCTGCCGTTAGCGTTAGGCGGGCTCGGCCTCCAGTCTGTCTCGGGCAACGCTTCCTTTCCGATCCCCGCGGCCGCAGTTCTAGCGGCCCCACCGCCCAGCCACAAAGCAAAAGTGCGAAAGGCGGGTGGGGTGGCCAGCCACGCCCCTGACCGCCGGGAAACCCTGGGCCCGCGGGAGCGCGCCCGGCCACTTCGGGCCACTTCCGGCCACGGGAGCGGGCGGGGCGGGGCCGACGTGCGGCGTGCGGGTCAGACGGGCGGCGCGCGGCTCCCCCTGCCGGCGGCGTGGGGTCAGGCCTCCGCGCTGGCCCGCCTTCCCCACGACGCCCTTCGGCCCCGCGGTGTGTGCCCGCGTACCGCACCGGGCCCCCGCCACCAGTTTTGTTCTGAATTCACAATTTCTCCTGGCCCTCAGAGCAAATTTAAAAAATTTTTTTATTTTTATTTTTTATTTTTGGGGGAAATGGAGGAGTTAGAGAAAGAGGATAAAAAAGACTTGGAGTGCGAGGCGGAGATGGAGGAAGGTGCCCAGGCCCCAGACTGGGACAGTGATGAAACGGTGATCGAGGCATCGGTGACGGAGAGCGACCAGGAAGAAGAGGAGTTGCCCTGGAGAAGGTAACCGCCGTTGGGCCTGGCTTCTGGCGGCGGGTGGCCCTCTGAGGGTTGAGGAGAAATTGTTACCAGCCGAACGTCTGCGTGCGGGCGGGAGTAGGGCCTTATGGGGCAGCTAGGCCTGAGCTCAGAATTTCGTAGATTAAGAAGATCGCAACTGCCCCCCAGCCCTTCCCCAACTTAGGACCGAATGAGCTGTATAGCAGGTGGCTTTCTGACATTTAAAAAAAGACTTCTTTCTTAGCCTGGGGCTTTTTTTTGCGTAGGCTAAACAGTCTTGGGTCTAAACTCCTCAAGTGCATTTTGCTTCCAGCGACTCGTAGCTCAGGTCCAGGAGACGGTTAGTATACTTTCTCTCAGGAGGAGAATGTGTGACCGGGGAACTGGTTACTACCAAACTGGAAACGGATAGTTTTATAAGAATCAAGGAAAGATGGTAGTTCCGTTCATCAAAACATATCTGGTTCCCTGTGCTGGACACAGGGAGAAGATAAAAGAGATGAGACCACTGACTCTGAGAAATCTACAGGCCAGGAAAGACGTAAACAGATAATTTCAATGTAATGTGGGAAGTCAGGGTAGGCTGGTTTAGGAGCCCAGAGGGATGCTTACCTCAACCTAGGTGGTCATCAGAGTTTGCCAGGGTTGACTTCTGGGTAGAGTCTTGAAGGTGGGTAGGAATTTGTCAGATGAAGGAAAGGAGGGTTTCAGGCCAAGGAGGTTTCCATGCAGTTGCATGCATGGGTAAAGGTGTAGTGGTGGGACATAGCATTGTGTTAAGTGTGTTGGAATGTGCAAACAGTTGGGTGTTACTGAAGTGTTAAATGGTGAGATGGGTGTGGTGAAAGATGAGCCTGGAGAGAAAGGTACAGTAAGGTCACGTGAGGCCTCTTATAGCCTGTGTGTGTCCTGGTAGGGAGCTTGTAAGATGTTAAGTGGAGGAGCAGCATAATCAGATTTTCATTCACTCAGGCATGCCCTAGACTAGGGCTTTGCAAATTTTTTTTTTTTTTTTTTGCGGTTCGCGGGCCTCTCACTGCTGTGGCCTCTCCCGTTGCGGAGCACAGGCTCTGGACGCGCAGGCTCAGCGGCCATGGCTCACGGGCCTAGCCGCTCCACGGCATGTGGGATCTTCCCAGACCGGGGCTCGAACCCGTGTCCCCTGCATCAGCAGGCGGACTCTCAACCACTGCGCCACCAGGGAAGCCCAGCCTTTGCAAATTTTAATGAAAGTTATGAATTTCTTATAAATCACTTCAGAATCCTGTTACAAGGTGGATTCCAACTCAGGAGTTCTAGGCTCGGGTTTGAGATTCTGCATTTCTAGCAAGCGTCCAGGTTAAAGTTGGTACTATTAGATCAGGGATCACCTTTTGCAAAGCAAGGCTATAGGGGTTAGCTTTGGGATCAAAGTAGTAACAGCTCAACTAGGCAGAAACAGTGGGAATAGAGGGAAAAGGACAAATCTAAGAAGTCTCTAGAAAGTAAATTTGGCCGCAGATGGTGATTGATGAGATATAGAGGATGAGGGCAGGGCAGCAGTAAAGGATGATATCCAGATTTTTGGCTCTTTTATATACAGAAACAGTAATATTTGCTCTTATTGGTGTACAGGGACCATTTTGACTGGTACCTGGAGTCTTATAACAACCACTACACTCAAGATCCAGAACCATTGTTACGCCAAAAAAACAAAAAAAACTCCTTTGGGCTGCCCTGTCCCTTGTAGTCAAGCCCCTCCTTCCCCATTTAAATCACTATTTCCATTTGTGTGATATATCATCTTTTTTAATCTGTCTGCTTTCATTTCCCTCACTGTCTTTCGTTTTCAGCAGTTTGATTATGATGTTTCTGGTAATGATTTTATTTGTGTTTTTCCTGTTTGGGGTTCACTGCTTCTCGAATCTATAAACATATCTTTCACCAAACTTAGGAAGTTTTCTGTCATGATATCTTCATATATATTTTTATGTACCAATCTTTTTCTCCTCTCTTTCTGGGGTTTGTTGTTGTTGTTGTTGTTTGTTTTTTTGGGGTACGCAGGCCTCTCACTGTTGTGGCCTCTCCCGTTGCGGAGCACAGGCTCCAGACGCACAGGGTCAGCAGCCATGGCTCACGGGCCCAGCTGCTCCGCAGCATGTGGGATCTTCCCAGACCGGGGCACGAAGCCGCGTCCCCTGCATTGGCAGGCGGACTCTCAACCACTGTGCCACCAGGGAAGCCCTCTTTCTGGGGTTTTAAATGACATGAACGGTAGAACTTTTGATAGTCTCCAGATCCTTGGGGCTCTAATAATTTTTTCGATTTTTTCTCTCTTAGTTCTTCAGACTGTATAATTTCTATTGCTTTATCTTAAGATTCACTTAGTTTTTCCTGTCTCATCTCCATTCTGTTGTTGAGACCATCCAGTGAATTTTTAATTTCAGATATTATAATTATATCTCCTAAAATTTCCATCAGATTCTCTTTTACAGTTTTTATTTCTCTGCTGAGAACTTCATTGTTTTCATCCATTGATAAATGTTCACCTTTATGTAATAAAGAATTATTATAATAGCTGCTTTAAGGTCTTTGTCTTGTAATTCCAACATCTGGGCTTGGGAGGTTGGGGCATTGGCATCTGTTATTTTTTCTCTCAAGAATAAGTCAGATTTTCCTTTGCATGTTGAGTAATTCTGGATTATATCCTGTGTATTTTGAATGTTATATTTTGGACTCTTGTTCCTGTTAAAATCCTCTAGAGGGAGTTGATTTTTGTTTGTTGTAACAGGCAGTCAATCTGATTAGGTTCTGACTGCATGTTCTGTTTTGCCTTCTGTGGGTGGTGTTTACATCAGTCCCATTTTCAAAGCCTTTACTATTTGAGTAAAGCCTTTACTTTACTGTTTGAGTCTGTCTGACTCATGTACCACTCAGGGATTAATCTGGAATTTGGACAGTAGTTAATATCATAGTTCAGTTCTCTAAGCCTTTGTTACACTTTTCTGAATCTGCTCTGCATGTGGACAGCTCAGGGTTGAGCCTCACACTTATGTTGGATCATATACAGAAGTAGGTGATTCCCCTTCCTGCTCTCTTTTCTCCAGGATTCTCATGCACCCTTCCCTCCCCATGCCCACATGTTGATTCGTATGACCAGAAAGATGGATTTCTTTCAGTGTTAGCCTTCTCGCTGTAGAGTAGTTCCCTGCAGTTGGGGCCACCTTCAGGGCAAAGTGAAAGAAAAAGAGAAGAAAATATAAGAGGTTCTTTTCATACTCTTGGGAGTATGGTTTCTCTAATAGGAGAGAGACAGGTTTTCTCTTAAGTTTTAAGTGCCCAAGCTACCATGATTGGTAGCAGTATAGCTCTGAAGCTAAAGACAGAAAACAAGAAAACTCAGGCACATTCCCCCCACACCTTCCGGCATTCAGGGATCCCTTTCCCTAGTTCTCTGGATAAAGGTAGGAGAGGTTTCTTCTGGAGTTTTTGCTGTCTGTGTCCACTGTACACTTCTAGGTTTAGGCCTAGGATCAAAGCTGGAGACAAAAAAAAGAAAAAAGGAGCAAAAAGCAAAACAAAAAAACCAAGCAAACCATGAGACTCATCTACTCCAGAGTTGTTATTTAGATTTCACTTTCAGTCCCCAGTTTACCTGCTATTATTTACTTTTCAGATTGCTCAGGTAGCTGTTAAAAAAAAAATTCTACCAGAGTTTTTATTTTTATTTTTTTATAGATGGCACTTTCTTTTTTTTTTTAATATTTATTTATTTGGTAGCACTGGGTCTTAGTTGCAGCAGGCAGGCTCCTTAGTTGTAACTTGCGGGCTCCTTATTTGTGGCACATGGGCTCCTTAGTTGTGGCAGGTGAGCTCCTTAGTGGCAGGTGGGCTCCTTAGTTGAAGCTCACTGGCTCCTTAGTTGCAGCACACGGGCTCCTTAGTTGTGGCATGCAAACTCTTAGTTGTGGCATGTGAACTCTTAGTTGTGCCATGCATGTGGGATCTAGTTCCCTGACCAGGGATCAAACCCGATCCCCCTGCATTGGGAGCATGGAGTCTTAACCCCTGCGCCACCAGGGAAGTCCCATCTACCAGAGTTTTTAGTTGTGATGAGTGGAGAACTAGGCTGTAGATGGCTTACTCTATCTTGACCGACCAATCTTTTTTTTCCCCCCAATTCATTTTTAAATGCTTCTCTGCAGTGCCATAGAAACATGATTCTTTCAGATCTCATAGCTCAAGGTTAAAAATTAGTTTTCTTTTTATTGGTATGGAAATACAAAGTCTAAGCATTGCTGGAGCTGAATACCATTGCTTCCCTCCCACCCATCTTCTTTGCTTACTTATATGCAGTTTATTCTGTTTTTCATGCACAAGCTCTCAACTTTGACTGGAATGAGGAGCACAGGTCCTAGTAGAGCAGAGACCTCCAACAGGCAAAATGTTATACATAAATAATCCTTAAATGTTGCAGCTATTAAGGTGCTTTTGCTAAGATCTGAGAAGTGGTTTGATGACCACTGGGATTAGATAAAGCAAGGCTTTCAAAGAATGAGGATGCCAGGTGTTAACTGTGCCTGAAAAGTACTCTGAGGACCTGGACTTGGTCCTAGCCCTCTTGAAACTATAAAATGCATCCAGTCCCTTTTTTGGCTTGGTAAGTGTTGCTACTAATCTATAAGAATTTAAGTTGCTGATTAGTGATGTTTTGTTTGCTTGTGATTTGTTTACTAAGAGGCAGGATTCATTTTTCTTATATGTGCCCTGGGAATCTTTTACCAATCCTTAATTTCTGTCCCAGCCTCCTGTAAATGTGAACTGCTCAATAACATTAAGGGATATATTGCAAACTAATCCTGTTCAATACATTTAAACAGAACCACCTTTTAAGATAGTTCATTATTACCTGGATTTAGGTATATGTTCAGGTCAAATCATGTCCTCTGAACATTATAAGTGCATATAGTAAAAAGCTAATTGAACATAATTACCCTGCAAGATGAATGTTAATTCTTTCCCTTAAGATAGGCTAGCACTATTTTCATGTGAATTGTCTAGATGGAAAATACCTGTTTTAAAGAATACAGTTGCAGAAGGGAAAAATAGCAAAATACAAGGAGACAAAGAATTAATAATCACATTAAATTAGCTAAAGAAAGCAACATTTTTGGTCAGGATATATGGCAAATAGGGGCTCTTCCAGTGATTAAAACAGAATGGTGCCAAGTACTATTCTTAAACGGAGAGAAGAGAAGAGACAGAGCAAGATTAGCTTCAGTAGTGGGCGTCAGTCCCCCGTGGCCAGCAGTCACTCTCTGCAGCTGATGCAGGGCCACTGGCCTGCCCACACCCCTCTTGTGCCACAGAACGAAGGACTTCATCCTCTCTCCACAGAGGATAGACAGAGCAGTGGGGTTGGCCAGGTGCCATATGACACACACGTTTAAACAGAATGAAGGAGTACACACTGAGTCTAAACAGGGAAAGGGATTCCCATACAAGGTGGTAAGTCTAGTACAGGCTGGGAGGACTCTATCTTTTAGTAAGAAGGTGTTCCAGACCCAAGGCCTAGCAGGGGTTGAAAGACTGTATGCACAAGACTTCCTTTCTCAGCACATTCTTTGTTATCTCCTGTAGGAAGTACACACATTGCCTCCCCAGACTGAACTCGAATCAGATCAAACCTCTATATATAATAACCAGTTTACAGGAAATATACAGGACAGAGGAACATGTTAAATGACATGCAGTCTTCAAATCCAAAATGTGGGAAACTCTATAGGAAAAACAACTCAGTTTCTTCAACAAATAAATTGTAAGGGGCAGGAAAGGGGATAACTTATAGATTTTAAAAGAGACTTAAGGGACATACAACCAAATGCAATGTGTGCATCTTGTTTGGAGCCTGATATGAACAAAACAACTGTAAAAAGAGACAGGGAAATCTGACTACAATCTGTTTATTAGTTTACATTGCTGTGTAACAGCTTACTCCAAAACTTACTAGCATCTTAAAACAATACACATACTGTGTAGTTTCTGTGGTTCAGAAATCCAGTAGTGGCTTAGAAATCCAGTAGTGGCTTAACTGGATCATCAGCTTCAAGGACTCAGAAGGCTGCATTTATCTCAAGGCTTCATGAGAAAGATCTTCTTCCCAAATCCAAATGGTGGCTATAAGATTCAGTTCCTTCTCTGGCTATTGAACTGAGTCCTTAGTTCCTCTTTGACTGTTGGCTGGGGGCCTCCCTTAGTTTCTTGCTACATAGGCTTCTGCAAATGGCTTTCACAACATGGCAAGCTGGCTTCCATGAGAGGGAAGAAGCAAGAGAATAAGAGAGTAAGATGGAAGCCACTATCTTTTTGTAACCTAATCTCAGAAGGAACATCTCAACCTATTTGCTGTATTTTGTTCGTTAGAAGAGTCGCTGGATCCAGTCCGTACTCAAGGATAAGTACCATATACAAGGGCATAAATACCAGGAGCCATTATAGAGGCTGCTTACTAAAGACTGTAAATTTAATAATATTAAGGAATTATTGACTTCTTTTTAGGTATGAAATTTTGGCTGTTTTTTTAAAGGTGTGATTATTACGGTTATGTCTGAAGAGTCCTTATCTTTTAAAATTGAATACTGAAATATTTCCAGATGAAATGGAATAAGATGTCCAGGATTTGCTTTAAAAGTAATCCAGTGGGAGACTCGCAGGGGGTAGAGAGGATGGCAGAGGGATCATAGAGGACGCAAGATTGGCTGTGTACTGATAATTGTTGCACCTAGACGATGAGTATACTATTGTCTCTATTACTTGTTGATGTTTGTAATTTTCCATAAAAAAAGTAAAAAGCAAAATGAATAAGTAAATAAACCAAAAAACCCCTAGTTCCAAATCATATATTTATGCCTTAGTACATTGTTACATTCCTGGATTCTGGCAAGATTTTAAAACATTTTTTTTTATTGTGGTAAGATATATATAACATAGAATTTAGCATTTTAACCATTTTTAAGTGTATAATTCAATGGCATTAAGTATATTCACATTGTTGTACAACCATCACTACTAGTTATCTCCAGAATTTTTTCATCTTCCCAGGCTGACACTCTGTGTACCCTTTAAATAATAGCTCCTCATTCTTTCATGCCTTCAGCCTCTGGCAACTACCATTCTACTTTCTATGAATCTGACTCCTCTAGATACCTCATGTAAATGGAATTATACCATTTTTGTTCTTTTGTGTCTGGCTTATTTCACTTAGTATGATGTCTCTAAGGTCTATCCATGTTGTAGCATGTATCAGTAGTTCCTTCCTTTTTAAGGCTGAAAAATATTCCACTGTATGTCTGTACACATTTTGTTTATCCACTCATCTGTCGATGGATACTTGTCAATTCCACCTTTTAGCTATTGTGAATAATGTTTCTATGAACATGTGTGTACAAATTAGGTCCCTGCTTTCAGTTATTTTGTGTACATACCCAGAAATGGAATTACCGGATCAAATGGTAGTTCTATGTCTAATTTTTTTTTTTAAGGTTTTTTTTTTTTTTTTTTTTTTTGGTATGCGGGCCTCTCACTGTTGTGGCCTTTTCCGTTGCGGAGCACATGCTCCACACGCGCAGGCTCAGCAGCCACGGCTCACGGACCCAGCCGCTCCGCGGCATGTGGGATCTTCCCGGACCGGGGCACGTACCGTCGTCCCCTGCATCGGCAGGTGGACTCTCAACCACTGCGCCACCAGGGAAGCCCTATGTCTAATTTTTGAGGAACCACCAAACTGTTTTTCACAGTGGCTGTACCATTTTACATTTCTAGTAGAAAGTACAAGAATTCTAGTTTCTCTATATCCTTGCCACACTTGTTATTTTCTGTTTTTTGTTTTGTTTTTTGGTTGGTGTGCAGTGGTACCTCATTGTGGTTTTGATTTACATTTCCCTAATGTTTAGTATTGTTGAGCATCTTTTCATGTACTTACTGGCTATTTGTATATTCTCTTTGGAGAAATGTCTATTCAAGTCCTTTGCCTATTTTTTCATTCTGTAAAGGTTTTTTAAGCAGAAGAAATAAATACTTAGGTCTTCCTAGTAGCATACTCGCCATGCTGTATCATTGCTATTTGTATCCCTCGCCAGATTTGAAGCCTCTTGAGAATAAGGACTGTCTTCTCGCTTTACCTTGGTGCTGCCAAGAGCATAGTAAGAAGTGAATCCAAAAGTTAAAGTTCTGTAATTGTATGTTCTGAAAATATACACTCAGACCTGGGATTTTAATCCGAAATTCTCTGTGGTATAGAGAAGGGTGAAGGAAAAAACCCAACAGCACTGGTCCTTCAAATAATCTCATTTCACTTCTGTTCAAAAACTATATTGATATTTGTCTCTTACTCCAAAATATATAAAAATAACAGAATATTTATAAAAATGAAAATGACCACATGAATAAGTCTTTATTTTTCATCTTGGATAAGTTTTAAATTAAAGGCTACATTTTTGAAAAAAAGTATTTTGATATAGAATATTAATAGTGGTATAACTAAGAATTTTAACAAATTAATTATAATTTTTATGAGTAGTTTACATTGAACCATGTTAAAAGTTTATCCACTTAATCATTTTGCAGTTTATGCAATATATCATCATATTATACACCTCAAACTTGCACAATGTTGTATGTCAATTATATCTCGATAAAGCTGGAAAAAATTTTCTAAAAGATGACAGTTGATTTGTTAGTCTTTGTTTAGGAAACATCATAACACCTGTACCTTCTTTTCTTATGTTTGAAAGGTTGATCTTTAAGCAAGACACATCTCTTAGATCTGAGTTCAGTCTCCATCCTGGTATAAGTAGAACATGCAAAGGTGAGAAATAATTCTTTTCTCTAAGTAGTTCCTTTAATTTTCCAAGTATTATTATTCCATTAACTTCTCCTTTTATATTTAGCCTTATTCTTTAACTTTACACGGAGTTAGTTTCTTACAGCCATCTGTAATAGACCTTAAAATCTGTTATTTTATAAGGATAGCAATGGGGATTGTAACTTCTGTAAGATGTTTAAGACTCTTAGAGAGGGCTACTGAGTGTGGAAGTGGCACTCGAATAGCAATTCTCCACCCCAAAATCTCCTGCTTAACTCTGTACTTTCCTATTTGCAAAAGTAAATAATACTTTATAATAATCAGTCTGATTCTCTCTGACTAAAATTAAGGTGCAAATATCCTTGGTATATATATTTTTAAAAAGAGCCTTTCACTTACAAATTCTCCAAACTTCCTAAGTCCACTTCTAGATCAATTTAAGCACTTCTGGAAAAATCTATCACTAATTGTTACAGTTCAGAAAGATCAATTCTGCAGTAGCTGTTCAAATTGTAGGTTATTTCCTTTTATGATTTCTTCCTGTGAGCCATTTTTTATTGGAGGATGTCTGGAAATAGGTGTAGAATGGAAGGAAAATCTCCTAAACATCATGAAAATCTTCTTGTGTGTATACACTTGTCCCTTGGTATCGACGGAGGATTGATTGCAGGAACCCCTGTACACACCCAGATCCTCAGATTCTCAAGTCCCATAGTTGGCCCTCCCTATCTGTGCATTGCACATCCACAAATTCCACCAGCCGCAGATTGTAAACATAGTACACGATATGGTCTGCGGTTGGTGGAATCTGTGGACGCCATACCCATGGATATGGAAGGCCAAATATATGTCTATTAAAAAAAAATCCTTGTTTAAGTGGACCTGCGTAGTTCAAGCCCACTGTAGTTCACAAAGTCTTCACTGTACTTCCTCTCACCTGATACCCTGGTGGCAAATTACAGTTTCTTCTTGGAGTAGTTTTTCCTACATGTAATTGGAAGGGATAGTGTGTAATATTAGTCTCCAGAATGTGTTATGATATATAAAATGACACTAGGAAGAAGTTAGAGATCTGTTTCAATATTCCAACCAAGTTTTTTCCCTTCCCTTCCCTTCCCTTCCCTTCGCTTCCCCAAATGGATAGACCTTAATTATTTTTGCTAATTTTTAAAAGTATAAAATATTTTTTAAATGTAAAATTATATAATGTAGAAAGTGAAAGATCCCATCCCCTTCTCTTCCCTGTAATTCCACTCCCAACAATTGGCAGTGTTTAGTATTTGTGTTTCTTTCTAGACTTTTGCATACCAATATATATATCTTTTTTCATAATTAGTATTGCACTACATGTATTATTTCTTTGTTATATTGATCTACCTCAGCCTGTTAAATTGCTACTTTTATTCCATTGTATGAATGTACCATTTAATGATTTGATTATGTTTCTCAGTATTATATCTTTGCCTACTTTTCTGATTATTTCCTTAGAGTAACTAGCTAAAGTTAGATTTGCTTTAAAGGATGAGCACATGTCAGACCTTGACATATATTGCCCGCTAAAATAGATGACTTTTTCCCTCTAGATCCAACACAGGACATATCCAATCTTTGCCAAACTGGTGAATAAAACATATCTGATTATTTTAATTTGCATTTTTGAAGAATACCAAGGCTAGGCATGTTTTAATATTGACCATTTATAGTTTTTTTTGTGTGTGAATTGCCTTAATGTCTCTTATTCTCGTTTTATTGTTAATTAATAAGAGCATTTTATATATTAAAGATAGCAAAACTTTGTCGTATGTACGTTGTAAATAGTTTTATCCAGTTTCCTAGTTATCATTTAATGTTATTCATGATATATTTTGTAGTACAGAAATTAAAATTTTTATATAGTAAAATCTGTCAGTCTTTTCTTTCAAGGTTTCTTTTTTCAAACTTAGAAATATTTTACCTATCTCAAGACCATAAAAATATTTTCTTTATCTTTTTTCCATTTATTATATTTATCGTTTTTACTTTTATGTCTTTAATATTTTTAGAATAATTTAGCATATGGAGGGTAGGTAGGATAGGTCTCTAACTTCATTTTTTTCAAATGATTAACTAATTGCTCCAGTATTATTTATTGAATGTCATCTTGTTGCCACTATTTAAAATACCATTATTGTTATATATTAAATGCCCAAATATATTATAGGTCTGTTTCCCACTTTTTGTTTTGTTTCACTGATATATTTGATTATTTCTACTTCTGTGCTATAACTACATTATTTTATCAGCCTTAGATTTTAATACATTTCCATATCTTGGAAGGACCATATTCTCCTACACAGAGTAGTTGGCTGCAGCATACATCCTAAGCTTCTTTGGTACAAACAGCAAGCTCTTTGGTACAAATAGTATGAGACTTCAGCCACTGTGAGCTTCCAGCTTACCCTCCTTCATATTTTGTCTGTGGGGTTTGCTCTGAGCTAGGTGGTTTTCTGGGATTCTGATAGAAGAATTCCATATACTGGTTACTTCTGAGGGAGCCCCTCCTTTTCCTGTGATGAGTGACAAGCTGCTAACCAGGGTTTGATTTCCCTCTAATCCATTCCCATCTTCTATATTTTTTATTTTATATATATTTTTTATTTCCTTTTTTCCATTGCTGCTTCAGATTTTTTTTTTAAACTGATTTCTTTGGATTCTTTTTGGGAACTGAGAAGGGAAGAAAAGTTAAATATGGGCTAAATTTGCCGTCTTGAAAATTCTGACTCTTCTTGAATAATATATTAGCATTATGAGTTTTAAAAAATGACTTAAAATGAAAAAAGAAAGTGTTCTTTCTAGCAGAGTTTAAGTCTACAATTTTCTTTATATATCCTTTGCGTTCATTCATCCTGGGACAAAGAAATATCGAGTATTATTTCATTCAGAGTTGTGTATATGTTTTTTCTTAAATTTAAAAACATTGACACATAAAAGTGGCAGTTAGGAAATTATGATTTACAAAATGATTTTTAAAATTTATTTATTTATTATTTATTTTTGGCTGCGTTGGGTCTCTGTTTCTGTGCGCAGACTTTCTCTAGTTGCGGCTAGCAAGGGCTACTCTTGTGGTGCACGAGCTTCTCTTTGTCGTGGCTTCTCTTGTTGCAGAGCACGGTCTCTAGGCGTGCAGGCTTCAGTAGTTGTGGCACGCGAGCTCTGGAGTGCAGGCTCAGTAGTTGTGGCGCACAGGCTTAGTTGCTCTGCGGCATGTGGGATCCTCGCAGACCAGGGCTCGAACCTGTGTCCCCTACATTTGCAGGTGGATTCTTAACCACTGCACCACCAGGGAAGTCCCATACAAGATGATTTTTAATGACATTTTGCAGTGTGTATAAAATCCTTGGGTCATTGTTAAAGCAGAGCAATAAAACTATTGCAAATGATTTATGATTATATTTCATTCTAGGCACTCCAGAGATTCAACTTGGATTCAAACTCAGAGAGGATCCACAAGAGCAACTGAATAAAAATCAGATGATGCCTATTCTTAGTGAGGATGCAGTCTTACAGGTATGTAGTATATTGATTAAATACATACTTATTAAAAATTGGTAATGCTGTTTGAAATAGGGGCAAATTACTAATGATTAATTCTATTTGTCTATTATTTTACTTCTTTCTTTTCTTACTCAGTTTTTTTCCCTTTTCTTTGCCAGTCATTCTGTTTCTTCACTGCAACTTCAGTAAAAGTCAAATGTTTTAGGCCCTCTTTATTTATTTCTCTTTCTGGTAGAGATGTGGACTTGAGAAGGTTAAAATAGGCTAAAATAGGATATAATAATTACAGTTTCATCTCCATTGTGTGTCAGAGGTCACCTTAAATTTGTGAAGAAGATACTAGTCTGTGTAGTATAATTTGAGATATGGGCCACTGAAAGACCCTTCTGTTGTCGTGTGTGTGTGTGTGTGTGTGCATGTGTGTGGGCACACACTTAGATACACAAACTTTCACTTGTTTCTTTTTAATGCAGTCACCATGGGGAAAGGTAAGGGATGATTCATTTAGCACCTTGGCATAAATAAGTTAGCTAACCAGAGATAACTACAGAGTCTTGAGGAATAAAACGGAGAATACATGTATTTTAATAGCAGAAACTGACAGCAGTTCCAAAGAGTGACCATGCGGGTTTATTTAATATTGTACCTAGGAAGGTGTATCACTTGAATTATATCTAGTCAAAAGAGTAAAATTCAACACCAAATTTTTTTTAAAGCTGAGATGTCCATATTTAGTTTCTACTAATTTGTTGAAATATCATTTTTGTAACTTCTGATTTAAGAAAAATAATTTTTTTCCCTTTAACTTCAGTAACTGTGAAATGGGAAATAAAAATTAACTTTTTTCAACTTATCTGAGAAACATTTACCATGTGAATATTGTATCAGGCTCTAGATTGTACCTCAGAATGGTGATTTTGAGAGCTTGATTACCAAACTTATTTGGATAGTGTTGACTTAAAAAATTGCACAAGGTGAGAGTTACGAGGTAAGTTTTATTTGGGGCAAAATGAGCACTGCAGCCCGGGAGACAGCGTTTCAGATAACTCTGAGAAACTGCTCTGAGGAGGCCAGGGGAGGAGCCAGGATAAATTAGGAGTTTTGCAACAAAGGGCAGGTAGTCAGGGACGTCAAAATATTATTGTTAATTAAAGAAAACCATATATCTCAAGTTAAGGAATTTAGAGCTTTTCTGTGTATGGGAAGATGCCAGAGTCTGGGCTCATTGAAATCATTCCTTTGATGTGAACCTCAGCTCTCTGGGGCAGGTATCCTGTATTTTCACATCCTGAGTTTCCTCAGGGCTCACCGCAGGGAGTGGCTGCAGTCTGATGGCTGCTAGGTGGCAGGTATTCTTTTCAGCCCTGAGTTTCCTCAGGGCTCACTGGCTCACGTTGGATGGTTGCAATCGTTGATGACTGTGACATCCTTTGTTTATCGATATGGCAGGAAATATTCCATTTATAAATATTCTATTCTATTTATAAATATTCCATTTATCAGTAGCTTTTTAAAAATATAGACTCTCTTGGGCTTCCCTGGTGGCGCAGTGGTTGAGAGTCCGCCTGCCGATGCAGGGAACACGGGTTCGTGCCCTGGTCCGGGAAGATCCCATATGCCGCGGAGCCTGTGCGTCTGGAGCCTGTGCTCCGCAACGGGAGAGGCCACAACAGTGAGAGGCCCGCGTACCGCACAAAAAAAAAAAAAAAAAATTATAAAAAAAAAAAAAAAAAAAAATTTGCTAAAAATACAGACTCTCAGACCCGTATTTGAGTAGAAGCTAGGACTGTCCATTTTTCAAAAGCCTCCCAAGTAATTGCTGATGATCAGCTGTTGGAACAATTGCCATAGAGGACTTGAAGAGTTAATGAATGTATCTTTCAAAGATTTTTCATGAGATTGTAACTCAGCCATCTGCTGGTTATGGGCTTGTTGTAAAATTAAGATAAGAAGGATAAATGAAGCACTTGGTATTTGTCCCTCTTTTTTGCCTTCGTGGGAATTCATTGGTAGTAAAATAGATACCTCCTTTAACTTTCCACTGCCCACCCCCCCCCCACCGTTTTTGTTTACAGTAAGAGTTAGACCATGTTACCAAAGTATTAAACATCTGTAGCAAATTTTAATTGATATCAGTTTTTAAATTGACAGATGCTGCTTTCAGAGTTTTTAATTTTATTCTTTGAAAATAAACATGTAGAAATTTAACTATATGAGTAAAATTGATTTTGTCAAATAAATAGAGAGACCAGAAAAGGTGCTTTCCCAGAGTTATTTAAAGAAAAAAATAGATATTGTTTCACAACTTCAACCTGATTTTAAGTAAATTCTAAATAATTCAGTTACTAAACAGATTTCTAAATAAATTTTTCTTAAAACTCAGATATAATATTGATATTCAACTTCAAAACAAACTATTTTAGAAATGATGAGATTGGGATTGACACATATACACTACTATGTATAAAACAGACAACTAATGAGAACCTACTGTTTAGCACAGGGAGCGCTACTCAATGATCTGTGGTGACCTAAATGGGAAGGAAATCTAAAAAAGAGTGGATGTGTGTATATGTATAACTGATTCAGTTTACTGCACAGCAAAAACTAACACAACATTGTAAAGCAACTATACTGCAATAAAATTTTTTTTAAAAATGATGGAACATTTCAAGTAAGGGCAAACTATGAAGAAATAGAGGATCTTTGGTTTGACATGCACTATGCTAATTTTTTTTTTTTTTTTTTTTTTGCGGTATGCGGGCCTCTCACTGCTGTGGCCTCTCCCATTGCGGAGCACAGGCTCCGGACGCACAGGCTCAGCAGCTATGGCTCACAGGCCCAGCCGCTCCAGGGCATGTGGGATCTTCCCGGACCGGGGCACGAACCCGTGTCCCCTGCATTGGCAGGCAGACTCCCAACCACTGTGCCACCAGGGAAGCCCCACTATGCTAATTTTTAAAAACATAGGGAGCAGTCTTTTAAAATATTTCATACTCATCATTCTTATTGGGTCTTGCCGTACCTGTTCTTGTTCTTTATAGGTGCTATGGCAAGCAGTTTTTAAACTTTACATAGAAATTTAAAAAATTTTGTTTGGAGAGTTTAGTAGTATGTATGGAGAGATAATTGGAGACATTACTATCAAAATTAGGAGGTATGATAGTAAATTTTATATATCAACTTGTCTGGGCCATCAGGTGCCCAGATGGTTGGTCAAACATTATTCTGGGAATTTCTTTGAGGATGTTTTTGAATGACATTAACTTTTACATCACTGGATTTGGGTAAATCAGATTGCCCTCCATAATGTGGGTGGGCCTCATCCAACCAGTTGAAGGCCTATATAGAACAAAAAGACCAGCTTCCCTAAGCAAGAGAGAATTATCCAGCAGACGGCCTTTGGACTTTATCTATACCATCAGCTTTCTTGGGTCTTGAGCCTGATGGCCCACAGTGTAGATCTGGACTTGCCAGTTTCCATAGTTACATGATCCAGCTCCTTACAATAAATCTCTTTCTATGTATAAACATATCCTGTTAGTTCTGTTTCTCTGGAGAACCCTGACTAATACAGCAGGCATCATTGATCTTACTATAATCGTTTTTGAATACTGGAAAATACTTGTTTGAGAGGGAATAATGATTAATTCAGTCTTGTGATTATTACCATCAGGCTGCTTCTTCCATCCTCTACTCACTGAAATGCTGTCTAAGAGGTATGGATCCAGGTTGAATTCACTTTTCTCTCCGTTAAGCAGCTTCCACCTTCCACCCTTATCCATATATAGTGGTGAAATCAGTTAAAATGAACATTTAAGAGAACCTTCAAAGGGAAACAAGCACAGGCTTGTTCGACAACTGTGTAATGGAAGAAGGATCATGGTTGGCAAGACCAGAGCTCATGGAGAGATTATGTATATATATACTGCAGGGTCTTTTTTCTTTTTTAATTTATTTTATTGAAGTACAGTTGATTTACAATGTTGTTAATTTCTGCTGTACAGCAAAGTGATTCAGTTATATATATATATATATATATATATATATATGTGTGTGTGTGTGTGTGTATATACACACACACACGCACACACATATTCTTTTTCATATTCTTTTCCATTATGGTTTATCACAGGATATTGAATATAGTTCCCTGTGCTATATAGTAGGACCTTGTTGTTTATCCATTCTATATGTAGTAATTTGAATCCTGCAGGGTCTTTTTAAGCCCCAGTAGGCAGGTAATATTCTCTCATGCTAGCTACCTCTCTGATTCATGAATAGCTGGACCACTCAAATTCAAGGTGAGTTTTCAAAACTTAGGGAACCCCTTGACTCTATTATGCTGATCATTAATGTCTTTGATATCCTTTTCCTGACTAACCCATCCTGACCTGCTTTAATTCTTAGGGTCCTAGAATTGCTGTCTCTGCGCGGGCTTCTCACTGCAGTGGCCTCTCTTGTTGCAGAGCATGGGCTCTAGGCACGCGGGCTGCAGTAGTTGTGGCGCATGGGTTTAGTTGCTCCGCGGCATGTGGGGTCTTCCCGAATCAGGGCTCGAACCCGTGTCCCCTGCATTGGCAGGCAGACTCTGAACCACTGCGCCACCAGGGAAGTCCCTAGGTTTACTTCTTGAAATTCCTTCTTCACTCTGGACCTCTGAGCTTTTTGCAAAGTCTGCTTAGGAAGTATGTATATATGGAACCAGTGTGATAACCTTGAGCACTATAAGGATGCACTATCAATAAATAACAATGAACAGTATTAATTGGAGAGGATTTAAGTTCTCACATTACTTTGTGTTTTCTTGTTGTTATGGCTGTTTCAGTGATCAAAAATGCTTGGAAGTTCAGGCTAATGGCTTTACATATTTTCAGAAAGCTTTATTATTGATCATAGAAAGAAACATAGAGGGTCCCCCAAAGAGAGATCTTTTTGTAAAGATATTCTTTGATACTAATAAGATATTTAAGGTAAGAATTCCTTTTAAAGCGATGAAAGCCAGTGTGCTGTGAAATCTTAAAATGGAAACATTTTATCAGAACATTTTAATCTTTTTTGAAAGGGACACAACAACTTCACATTTTCTGGCATGACTTGAGAATTAGGCAGAATCCATTAAGCATTTAACACTGTAACACAAAGGTTGTATGATTTTTGGCCCTCAGGAGAAATATTAGAACTCAGAACCTGACAAGAGTGGCTCATCAGAACCATTATGGATTAATGAACTAAGAAAAGGGAAATACTAGGAATAAAAAGAAGGAACACTCCCTTTCTCTTTACCTAAGTTCCACAAATTCTTTTACAGAAAGAAATTAAAACAAAATACTAAACATAAGAGCCAAAACTATAAAACTCTTAGAAGAAAACATAGGGGGAAAGTATCATGACATTCAATTTGGCAATGATTTCTTGGCTATGAAACCATAAGCAACAAAATAAAAAATAGATAAGCTAGATTTCATGAAAATTAAAAACCTATGTGCATCAAAGGACACTATCAACAGAGTGAAAAGATAACTCAAAGAAAGGGAGAAAATATTATTTGTAAATCATATATCTGATAAAGGATTGATACACAGAGTATGTGGAGACTCTTATAACTCAACAACAACAAACAAGTGATTAAAAAATGGGCAAAGGACATAAATCGACATTTAGTAAAGAAGATGTAGGGAATTCCCTGGTGGTCCAGTGGTTAGGACTTGGCGCTTTCACTGCTGGGACCCAGGTTCGATCCTTGGTTGGGGAACTAAAATCCCACAAGCCACTGCAGCGTGGCCAAAAAAAAAAAGAGACATACAAATGGCTAATAAGCATATGAAAAGATACTCAGCATCTTTAACCATTATGGAAATGCACATCAGAACCATGATGAGATACCATCTCACACTCATCAGGATGGCTGTTACCAAAACAAAATAACAAGTATTGATGAGAATATGGAAAAATTGGAATTCTTGCTCATTGCTGGTGGGAAATGTAGAATGAAATGGTACAGCTGCTATGGAAAATGGTATGGTGATTCCTCAAAAAATTAAACATATAATTACCATATGATCCAGAAATTCCACTTCTGGTTATATACCCAAAATAAGTGAAAGCAGGGACTCGAAAATATATTTGTATACCCACACTCATAGACGCATTACTCACAATAGCCAAAAGGTGGAAGCAACCCAGGTGTCCATTAATAGATGAGTAGATAAATCAAATGTGGTACATACATACAATGGAATATTATTTAGCCTGAGAAAGGAAAGAAATGCTGATACATGCTACAACAAGGATGAACCTTGAAGACATCATTACTAAGTGAAATAAGCCAGTCACGAAAGGACAAATATTGTATGGTTCCTTTTATATGAGGCACTTAGAATAGTCAAAACAGAGACAGAAAGAATCATGGTTGCCAAGGGTTGGGAGAGGAGTAAATGGGGAGTTAGTGTTTAAATAGGTATGGACTTTCAGTTAGAGAAAATGAAAAAGTTCTGGAAATGGATGTTGGTGTTGATTATACATCAGTGGGAATGTACATAATGCCACAGAACTTGAAATGGTCAAAACGGTGAATTTTATGTTTTATATATTTTACCACAATAAAAAAAGATACTAAGAAAGAATAACATATCTTAAATGTTAAATTTTTAGCTTGTTGCATTAGCTTAGTATTCCTCAGTTGGAAAAAACTACTGTTTTTTCTTTCTAGCAACCTCAAGATGAAATGGAACAAAATGAAGCTCCGTTACAGTAAGTATAATGATTTGGGGCATTATTATATTATAGATATTTTTTGTCATTTTACACATATAAAATAAGTGTTCTTTCTCTTAAGAGTTTTAGAGTCATTGTATATTTTTGAATAATTGTCCCTTAGCAACATAAATATATGTTATTTTACAAACATTGTAGATAAGTTTCATTTCATGAGAAAGACTGAATCAGTTGATTCTCTAATATTACTTAAAAAGCAAATTTATAGCATAGCATGAGGGAAGAATTTGTAGAGCTTATTGAAATTAGACTTTCATAGAACTATTATACTTAAAGAGACCTTATCCTTTCAATTTTTTTTAAAACAATGGTTCTCAAAGTAAAGCCTGTGGACCCCCTGGGAGTCCCTGAGGCTCTTCCCAGAGGATCTGTGAGGTCAAAACTATTTTCATAATAATGCTAACACATTATTTGCCTATTTCATGGTATTGACATTTACATTTACAGTGCTAAAGCAAATGGTGGATAAAAAGCTGGAGCCTTAGTAGGCATCAGGTCAGTGGCACCAAATAGGACTGGTAGTCACCATATTTTTCACAGCCATGTACTAGCGGTTTAAAAAAAAAAGGCCAGTTTTACTTAGTGCATTTGATGAAGCAGAAAAGTTATTAGTTTTATTAAATTTCTACCCTTGAATATATCTTTTTACGCCTCTGTGTAAGGTGTGATAGTTGTCTTAAGAAGAGCACTTGTGCACTTGTTTGAGTTATAAGATTAGTAAAAAAAAATGGTTTCACCTTTTTTTTTAACTTGGAAGAATAACTAACAAACTGGTTATTCACAGTGGAGTATGTGGCAGACATTTTCTTAAACTTTCTGGTAAGATCAGTGGAAATATTTACAAAGGTGACCTTTTTGAGATTTTTATGATGAAATAGATCAATATAGGGAAGAGCTGCATAACTCAGCAAATCAGTATTTTCTGAAAGACCAGTGCATGTCACAGCATCACCCACAGACAAGTAAAAGATCCATTCAAAGTGCAGCATAGACCAATATAAAAGTTCATTGATTTTGTTTCAATTTTCACATTTCCAGTAACCTTTAAGGAAATTATTGCTTTTAGAGTTTTGGTATGTTATCTAAAAAGAATATGCACTATTATCCTAAAAGACTGCTAAAGTACTCCTTCCTTTTCCAACTGCATATCTGTATAAGGCCAGATTTTTGTAACATACTTCAAATAAAAAAATATATTGCAGGGCTTCCCTGGTGGCACAGTGGTTGAGAGTCCTCCTGCTGATGCAGGGGACACAGGTTCGTGCCCTGGTCTGGGAGGATCCCACATGCTATGGAGCAGCTGGGCCCGTGAGCCATGGCCGCTGAGCCTGCACGTCCAGAGCCTGTGCTCCGCAACGGGAGAGGCCACAACAGTGAGAA